ACCGCCGCTGGCCGGTCGCCGCCGGCAACGGTAGGCGGGAGTCGATCCCCGTCAGCTGGTGGAACCAGCCGGCTGGCCAGGCCCCGACGGTGCGAGCCCTCGCCACTCTGGCGGCGGCCCAGTGGGTCCACGTCAAAACAGCTAGTGACTATTGAGCTAGTGACTTTTGAGCTGGTACAAAAGAGCTAGTGCTTCAAAACAGCTAGTGACAAAACAGCTAGCGCCAAAATAGCTAGTAATGCAAAATAGCTTGTGCACTAAATCAGCTAGCGACTAAACAGCTAGTGTCAATATAGCTAGTAGAGCAAAACAGCTAGTGCTTTATTATAGCTAGTGACAAAATCGCTAGCGTCCACCAATAACTACCTAATGAAGCAAAATAGCTGATTCGTAGAGCAGCTATTATAGATTCTTTCCCGACGACGAGTCCCGCGCAAAGAGAAGGAGCAGAAGAGCACCGTTGTTTAACAAAATTATTTGGAATGTTAGAAGAAGGACGGAGGACGGGATTCCTAGGACAAACAACAAATTAGAAGCGTGGCACCGGGGAATTCAAGGCATGTTTGATTCATCGTACCCATCATTAATAAGATTTTTCACCGCCATCCAAAAAGCATCTGATCCAATCCAATCCAAAAATCCAATCAAAAAATATTAAAGCATCTGATCTTGTGAAATATTAAAGTGGCCAGGATGTTCAAAAACGAAAGAAAACATACAGAGACATGAATGCCAGATTAGTCACTACTGAGACGCTACAGGGAAGGCATTATTGGCAAAAAAGAATTCATTCGGGGAGTAGGTTTCAACATCACTTTGAATGTTTGAGATGGCATATCGCGGGAAGTACATATTTACAGTCATAGATATCTTGCATTTTCGAAGCGAAGTGAATGGGAAGGGAACAAAGGTCCAACGAAATTGCTATTTTGATGATAGCTATTTCGTCACTAGCTGTTTTGAGGCACTAGCTCTTTTGCCTCACTAGCTACTTTGGCGCTAGCTGTTTTGTCACTAGCTGTTTTTAAGCACTAGCTATTTTGCTTCACTAGCTATTTTGACGCTAGCTGTTTTGTCACTAGCTGTTTTGAGGCACTAGCTGTTTTGTACTAGCTCAAAAGTCACTAGCTCAAATGTCACTAGCTATTCTGACGTGCACCCGGCCCAGTGGGCCTTCTGGACGTCTATAAGGATTTGTTTTTAGTCGAGTATGTTTGCCTTCTTGGCGATGGTGTCGGCCCTCTCGTTGCCTTCCAACCTGCATTGTGAGGGCACCCACTGTAGGTAGACCAACAGGCCTCCAGCTGTCAGTCCCCAGAGGGCTCTCCAGATGTCCACTCCGAGCGAGGAGTGCTGGGCGGCCCAGCCACCTCGGATGGCGGCGAGGGCGGACTGCGAGTCGGTGCTGGCTACGATGGTGTCTTCGGCGTGCGGCGGGTTCTCCAGCAGCTAGGAGAGAGCAGCTCGGAGGGCGACCATCTCAGCTCGGAAGCTGGAGCACAGGTAACCTGCCGGGGCGCGGATCGAGTGCTCTTCCCCGTTCGGCCAAACGATTAGTGCCCCCGGCGCCTCCGTCATATTCTGTAGCTCGTTAGTTACAGTATGCTCTTCGCCCTTGGCACATTTCTTGGCTTCTCCATCAAAAATGTCTACAGCTGGCCTAGAAATGGTGACCTGCCAGTTTCCTGAGATATCCAAAGTAGAAGTTCCTGTAATAACAGGCCACCACCGGCACGGATGTTTGTCCCAGCTACTTATACTCCAATCAGTCCTATGCATCTTGTTTCTGCTCCACCGCTATTTTTCCGTCCGTTCTTCGCAGACTGGCGTATTCTTGAGCTTCCCGATCCCGATGCAAGTTTTGCGGTAACATTTAAAAGCGGCAACCTTCATCGTTTAACATTGATGCGAAGGGTACGAATTCCATCGTTTCATCGAGCATTCTTCCGAGATGGTTTGATCCAGACCATAATGAACTACAACCCCATACGACACACTGGATAAACTTCATTGTTTGATTGAATAAGCTTACTTCTTTTGGATGTAGTGGCGTATCACTGCCATGGGTATGGCATTATTTAGCGCGGCGTAGCTTCGAACTGCGATGGCGAGTTGTTCTTTTCACATTAACTGCTGGTCAAGTTAAGTCTTTGTAACTCCTTTCAGTGAGTCTTTTTTTTCTCCAGAATAAAATAAGGCACTAGGCATTATAGGAAGTATGCTGAGACTGGCGCCGTCGATGGCGTCCTGTTTTTCTTCTTGCTGTGTGAGTCTCACAGTCAGTCAGTGTTTGCAAAAGTAAACTTGCAAATCTGATTGTCCTCAGCGTTAGCTCTTATCTCGATTGATGGTTTCGTCTGTGAACATTTTTTCCTTTTAGTTATACGGGAGGCTAAAAAGTTGCCTTTTTGCTAGAAATTATGTTTCGTTTCACATTTTTCTTGCCCTGACTCTGGCTTGATACCCGGAATGACATCTTCGCACCACACGTTTTCTGATCCGGTCGTGATGAGGTAGTGATCGATAATATTCTTTCCTTTTTTGACCATTTTTTCGAGCTATTTCTTACTTATTTTTACTGCTTCTTGTGGCCCTATATAATGTATCGTTATTTCTCAAAACCCTTTTCAAAACCAACGTAAATGACTATGTAGTTCCGACAAATTAGCAACGACAACCAACAATGCAACCTGCAACCAACATTCAAAAGCAAGAAAATGCGCGCAAAGTACGGCTGCATTTGTGAAGTATATACCTCCAGCGTGAACAAATGGCTAACTGAACGAGAAAACATGTTCTCATTTATATACATTTATTTCTTATTTATTTTGAATTCAACAAAAAAAAATGTAATCCGACAGGTAGATAAAAGTATGGGCTATCCTATATCCAAATTTGTAAATATTCTGACACCCTTTTCATTGTAAAAAGATGGATAAAAGTGCACTTATTTTTGGGCCTCCAATGCTGATTTCCTCGGATCAGCGCACAGTCCATATATAGAGAAGTCTGTGGTTCAGCCTTTGTGAAAGTGAAACACCCCGCCCATTGTGGCGACAATAGCCAAAAGTTTGCATTGACGAATCTATATTGGGGTTTCAAGAGCCGTGGGTTTGCATTGTATTGTAACACCCACACAGATTCTCTAGTTTCAAGAAAAAAGTGGATTTTGCTTCCTTTGCCTTCTGTGCGATTAACAAACTTCGCCTAATAAAAGTATATTTTTCATGACGGCGAAATTCGAGCGCTCCCCAAATCCACTAGTGAAGGTTGTAGTCATCGCAAATAAAAACTAAATAAAAGTTATATTTTTTCATGACGGCGAAATTCGAGCGCTCCCCAAATCCACTAGTGAAGGTTGCAGTCATCGCAAATATAAACTATCACGTTGCACAGAAACCTTCAGTTTTAGCGAATGGCTGAAAAATAAAATCACAACTGTTAATCGAAAAAGCCCTTCTTGTGACTTACTTTATAGCTGATCAGGTATCCGACTGGGGACTCAGTGACCAAAGATTCGAGGCGGACCGAGGGCACTCGGTCTGAACAGTTTCGTTGTTCGTGCCATCTGACGACTGGCGCAGAGAGGACCAAGCTTGGCTCAAGAGGACCGTGTTCTACAAGCTGATAGGTACTTACGCATCAGAATTCAGACACAATTCATAAAAGTCGTTCGGCGAAGAAGTCGGACCTCGAGTGATGGGCTCATGAATTATGGTTTTACGCAACAGCCTCAGTCCTTCGGATACGTTCAGTCATTCGGATATTTCAAACAATGTGGGATTTTCGTGTGCAACGCATCAATTGCATATAGGTGAGCATTAGTTTCTCACAATCATGAATTCGTGACGGGTTCCTCCGTTCTTCTGCATAAAATGTAATGGAAGGTCTCCGTTACGAAAAAATTAGGCTGAGACCTAGACAGCGAGACAGAGACAGAGAGACTCTGAATCTGATACCTGCCGAGACGGCGAGTCGTCTTCAGAATCTGCTCCAAAACAGCGGCTATAGTGAGCCGCCAACTAAACGCACCGAGATATGGCGCCGCCAACTAAGTCCATACAAGGACAGCCTATTATGGTGGGTTTAAGTGGCGACTTGCTGGAGACAGCGAGACGCTAGCCAAAACTCCGGCGCACATCGCCCTGGGAGTCGGCGGTTGGTTACGACTTACGATGGACTGGCGGACCGGGACGGGGAGCGCCGGGCTGCGATGAGGGACTAACTGATAGGGACGAGGACCAACGGTTGGCGATGAGGAACTGGCGGACTGGGATGAGTGACATAGCCTCGAAACCAGCCCCGCGGGGTGCAACACAGGTGGTGGCTGGGACGAGGGACGTACCGAGGGACCGGCGGGCTCGACAGCGAATCGAAGGAAATCGGTATCGTGTGTGTCGGCTGACACTCAGACGAATCACTGAAAAAAACACAAGCTGCTACTCCGCTGTCATAAATGCTTGGGATTGATTGCAAGATTGATTGACTCTGAATATAACCCAAAGTGGAGTAAGGCAGAACGGAGAAATGAACCGCAAATGTAACGGAAGCTTCTTGGTTAGTTACACTTTTTCATGTGACGAGTCCGTTCCTCCACTTCTGAAAATGGTGTCGTTCCGAAACGGATGAATTAACTATGCTGAATTTGCCAACGGCCAGCTTATGACTCCATTGCTTCTTTCCTATTTATTGAGTTTCCGGAATTATGACACACTCAAAATTAGGACTCTAAATATGTTTCATTGTGACTTTGGGGACAGCGGTTTTAATCTGAGCTTTGAACTAGGGGTTGGCCTGGGCCTGGTGTACATTTATGCTGTGGCGTTCGTCCTTTAAGTATAAATTTAAACCAACATTTTTTCCTCGTTTTTTTTTTTTCAAACGTGATTGTTTTAAATTTAATCAATATTTTATCTAAAAACATATTTTTTCTTACTTTCGCATATCAACAATGTCCTTCCTAAGAATCGCCTTCGCCGTACAGCACATACAATAAAATAAATTAAATATGTTTTATTTGCTGAAAAAGGACAAACACACAGACATTCTCAGTTCACCCAGTCGCACAGAGGACACTGCAAGACACTGAAGCGAATACGGTCAGCCGGCAATGCAAGAGGAGGATATTGTGACGTGCTCATCCAAATATACCGATTAGCAGTAGTATCCGTAGGGGCATCCGTACCTTCCCCTGCCGCCAAAGTTGCCGCCGAGGCCAAGGCCGAAGTTGCTGCCGAATGCATTAAAACTGTGGCCGAAGTTGCTGCTGAATCCGTGGCCGAAGTTGCTGCCGAGTCCAAGGCCGAAGTTGCCGCCGAGACCAAGGCCGAAGCTGCTGCCGAGTCCAAGGCCGAAGTTGCTGCCGAGTCCAAGGCCGAAGGCACTGCTGACTCCACCAAAGCCGTGGCCAAAGTTTCCGCTGAATCCGTGGCCGAAGTTGCTGTTGAATCCATGGCCGAAGCTGCCGAAGTTTCCGAAGCCATTGCCAAAGCCATTCAGGCCACCGAAGGCGCTCAGTCCACCGAAGCTGTTTAGACCACTGAAGCTGTTCAGTCCACCGAAGCTGTTCAGACCACCGAGGCCGCTCAGGGCACGGAAGCCACCCCGGTGGTAAGGGTAGTAGTAGTTGTTTTTGTAGTAGTAGTAGGGGGAGAAGCTGGCAGCGGCAGCAGCCACCAGGGTGAGGAGGATGACCAGCTGAAAAAAGAAAATAAACCTTAATCTTTATACCTCCTGCTCACATTTTACTGATAACATTTCGTCTATAGTGAAGTGGTAAATCATTACCATTTTTAATGATCGTTTAGGGAACGACCTAAATCAAACATTTCAGTTTGATTAGTGCATAATAATAGAGAATGAATTCATGCTTAACTGTGCACGAACCAGCTGGAATAGACGTTGAAAATGGGCTAGAACATCAAGCACAACTCTCCTTTAATTACTGCTTTAATAACTGCTCCTTTAATTAAACTGCTTCCGTCGTAAAGCCCCACCTTCATGATGGTGATTTGGAAGTTGAGGGTTTTGGAGCTGTGCTGCCGCTGCCTTTGGACTGTGATGGTGAAGTGACTGCTGAGGGCAGCAGAGCGGTTTTATATTCAGACAGAGCTCGGCCCAGGAAAATGCTGCGAGTTAGGATCGAGCCAACGGGCATGTAAAAGCAACACCGTCATGCTTGTTCGTACATTCAAAACAGCACGACAACATAATAATAAAATAATGAACATGAGAGTTCTTTTTATCACACGTACAATTCTTATCACACAATTACAATTTTTATCACACAATTCTTATCACACGTAGTAACATAAGCATTACATTGTTCCGCAACTTCCTTGGAATATCAGCCGTTTTCACGACGGGCTATCTGGCAAATGAACCTAATTTGACCAAATCTGCACCAAATCTCTATTACAATAAATATATTCATAACTATCATGAATTTATTTCAGTGTTTATTAGAAAAAAATATGTCTGATTATTTGCCAAATGAGGCACATAAGCATCTGTGCAACCCAAACTGATAACTTTAAGCCCGTGCCCCGTCGGGGTCTGCCCAGCAACGCGCCCTGTTGGGAAGGGGGCAACTTGCCCCCCCCCCCCCTAAGATCTCGAGAACCACGCAACATAGCGACAAGCAGCAAACGGTGTTGGATAACCCCAACAGGGAACTACCTTGTGACCCACTTTCATTGACCTAGGTCAAACCGATGACGTCACAGGTCAGGTCAAATGTCGGAATTTTCACCGCTTACAGGCATTTCAAGAAATGCGTTATAAAATCGAGTATTTCATTGAAAATCATCGATGGGGAATTGTTAGTCAAACACATATTTTGCTATTTGAGGTCACTGATACTAGGTCAGGTCACAGAGGTCAGATCACTAAGGGTCACAATTTGAAAATATCATGTGAGGCATGTTTTATGGTCCATTTTATATGTAAAATGCGATATGTGGGTCAAGCAGCCTTTGGGACCAGTTAAGATTATGTTCTGGTGAAGGTCAGATCAAGGTCAGGTCAAATTAGGTCATATTTCAAAGTTGATATTTTGCATAAAAGGGGTATCGATTCGATGCAGCTCGGCACGGGGAGTTCAAAGGTTGTCTTTGTTTTGCGCTACGTGGTCTAGAATTACTAAGAATTGAGTTCAAAAATTTGACTTAGTAATTTCGAACAGTTTTTTTTTTCGCTATAACTTGGCAAAAAAGGAGGAATCGATCTAAAATTTGGTATGTAGATAGAATAGAGCAGGGACTATCACAAATATTCCGTTGTTTGGAAATTCGAAAAAAACGTTTGGGATCTTTTTGCGTAAGAAATCAACTTTTTATTTTTCGGGGTCAAAATCCCATAATTTTGAAAATCCGAGATAGCAGTTTTGTAGCGCTATCATTTTTCTACATGACCGTATAAAGAACTTTGAAATTGCTTGGTAACTGTAGCTTTTGTGAGCGTTTCAAAATTTCATTTTTTTTGCTCATTTTTGCTCTAACATGACCCAAGTTTGACCTCAAGTACCCTTGACCTAAGGTAACCTAAGACTTGAAATTTTGTGTGAAGGTGTTAAATTGATGCTCGGGAAGGTACTGTAAGTTTTGCGGCGCTGTGCGCCGCCGTTTACCTGCGTAATACCTAATACCTGCGTGGTTTCAAAAAATTCAAACCCATTTGTTTTGACGGGCCGGGCCGGGCTGGGCTTTCACACTTTTACCATGGACGGGTTCGGGCTGGGCCGGGCTGTGAACCCCATGAGTCTGGGTCGGGCTGGCCTCAGTTCTCCTTCGTGCCCCAGATGATCAGATAAAAATCAAAGGTAAGTTAAGTAGGCATATAGCATTGGAAGTTTCCCATTTGATCATATCGCCATGCAATATGAGTATGTGGATCGCTTATGATTGTACAGATATAATACAATACTGAATACTGCACAACGCAATTGTCATAATGATAATAAGTTCAAACAATAGCTATTGCTTGAAGAAGACTAGCTGCATCCAGTGGCATTATGGCCACCCTTTGATCAAATCTGACGTGAAGTCGTTCCTGGAGTTTTAACGGATACACAGGGCCATTTTTAAATCTAGTCAAGCTTCCAACAGTTTTGGATAAGATTATTCACATTCTCCCATAACAGATTCATGATATCCTCCAGTCGCTTCTATGCTAAGTTAAAGGGACCCTCCCACCTTAACATTAGTTTTGAGTTGAGATAGCCAAGTTTGCGGCCAGGCTCAGAAACCACCATTTATCCTGGTCGCAACCCCCGCAGCTTTATGGTGTTCAAGAAATTTCTTCCCTTTACTTGCAGGGTGGGACCAGCGTGGTCCCTATCTCTTAACCATTACGGGAATCTGATGACGTCATCAGGCTTCCGAACGTCCGTTAAATGTTTGACTAAAACGTTTTGTAGCACGCGGTGGTATATGCTGCTTTGCGCGCAACAAATGCCGCACTTTCAAATAAAGTCGCTAGGAACAGCGGAGATCCCAAAAAGTAAACAAAAGTAAAAGTCTAATATCTTGAAAACCGGTGAATATTTTTCGATGAAATTTGGTAGATATTCGTTTTTGCTCTTTCTGAACCGAGCGACATCACTTTCATGCCAATTCATTAACTTTTTTGAAGGTGGGAGGGTCCCTTTAAGCTAAAAATTACCGAAAGTACCTAATTGTTGAAAGCCGTTAAATTTGGTGCCATTTTATATTTTGTAAGGTTGTTTTTAGAAATGATTAGTGGGTACGAAGATTTTCACCCACTCCATGGCGACGTTCGTTTGACCCGATCACAGGTTCAATGTTGATATTAATACATGTACCTATGTACATCATGACACATTACATGAAAAATATTTACTCCAAAATTCAAATAATATTCAGTCGCAAGCTACATCCATTTTTACAAATGTTCGTATGATACGTTTAAAACAGAGCACATGAGATTATATACATCTGGAAAGTTGTCATGACATTCATTAGTTGTTGATTTTCAAGAAATGCGTGGACGTGTTCAGCGTGTTATAAGATTTGTTAGCAAATAAATGTTTTGACAGGGTCGTGCTTGTCAGAAAGCACGGACAAGTGCGACCGTGGACTTTTACATTCCTCTAGACTTGATAGTTGGTTAGAACAGTTTTCCTGGGTCCAGGGTCGGTAAATTCTGGTATAAAAGCGTTTCGCTGTTCGGATCATTCACTTCATCATCACAGTCCAAAGACAGTGGCAGCACAGCTCCAAAACCTTCATTTTCCAAATCACCATGAAGGTAAACCTGCACCATCAAGATGATTGTGGGACCTTTTCTCCTCTTAACAGTTTACAATTATCACTATTATGGTTCACCATGTCAATTTTCGCCATTCTCTGTTCCCTGAGGGCAGTGTCCTTGTGGGTTTTCACTCCACGTTCAGTAAAATCTGGATCCAATGCCTACAGACCCGAGGCAATCACCAAGAAATAGGAATGGGACACTAGGTTACAGTACACCATCCTGGTCAGACATTATTAAAGCGCATGTCCTCATTTTTTTCTTAGGAATTAAGTGGATCTGGGATCGTGTTGCCTGACGTTCCCAGTGTTGAGATAAGCAATAAGGAATACGTCTATCTTTTTCAGCTGGTCATCCTCCTCACCCTGGTGGCTGCTGCCGCTGCCAGCTTCTCCCCCTACTACTACTACAAAAACAACTACTACTACCCTTACCACCGGGGTGGCTTCCGTGCCCTGAGCGGCCTCGGTGGCCTGAACAGCTTCGGTGGACTGAACAGCTTCAGTGGCCTTAACAGCTTCGGTGGACTGAGCGCCTTCGGTGGCCTGAATGGCTTTGGCAATGGCTTCAGAAACTTCGGCAGCTTCGGCCATGGATTCAACAGCAACTTCGGTCACGGATTCAGCGGAAACTTCGGCCACGGCTTTGGTGGAGTCAGCAGTGCCTTCGGCCTTGGACTCGGCAGCAACTTCGGCCTTGGACTCGGCAGCAACTTCGGCCTTGGACTTGGCAGCAACTTCGGCCTTGGCCTCGGCAGCAACTTCGGCCTTGGACTCGGCAGCAACTTCGGCCACGCTTTCGGTAATGGATTCAGCAGCAGCTTTGGGCACGGCTTTAGTGGAATCGGACGCAGGTTTGGTAGCAGGGGAAGGTACGGATGCTACTACGGATACTACTGCTAATCGCGCCCATTTTCATTCAACACTTTCCAACTACCCTGTAACAATGGCCGACTGTTAAGCTGACAATTGACAACTTAGTATGCCGCGGTCTCCTCTGTGTGTGCGAAAGTGTGTGAATTGGGTGTTCCAGTATGAGTGTGCTTTCTTGCAAATAAATCATATGCAGAACAGGAGTTCGAAATTGCTGAAGCTCGTCCAACCACTGAATCTTCAAGAATTGCTACACTTGGTTCACTCATGCATACTTCTGAATTGATTTGAGGCTTGGGTCTCGCGACGCAAACCTTCACTAAAGTCCTCCGCCTGCGAACATCATGCAGATGACCAGTAAGAACGAGGTCGTAGATGCAGATACTCAGCCCTCCGTGGTGTTTCTTCAAATGCCAACAGCGCCTACCTACACGGTCATGTAGTTCTGTTCAGACTTCTGAGCCTCCAGATCTTCCTAGAAGATATGAAACGTTTAAAAGCGAATTAAGTGCACGGTTTTCTCTTTTTTAACGTTATCATCAATATGTACAAAACCGTTTCTCGAATCATATTATGTTTTGGCACAATATTCTTGGTGCATAACCTGCAAATCTTTCGAAACGGTTTGGAGCAACACAACAAATATTTTGTCATAAATTGAAACTGTTAAACTTTAAAAAGTTAATGTACATGACTTTCCAAGATGCTATAAACAAACAACAAATATCCTCAAACAATAAAAAAAATGTTGAAATCCCATTGTGATCGACAATCGAAAAGCAAAACCACAGATCAGAATCAGTGATCGATGACCAATGACCATACTGGATGCTCTCTGAATCCTGAAATAGGTAGACGGGTTGGACCCTTTGCAAAAGTGGGAAACCCTCTCAACTTACATGAGCTCATTAGCCTCAAGTCTTCACTCCTCTAAGAAAGACGGAAATGGCGGAGACAGCTCAGAGCTAGCGAGTCAGCTGGGGCATTTTTTTCTATTCATGATTCGCTACATGCGGCACGATGTGTGAGAGTGTGTAGCATAGCTTTTGTCTAAGAGGCGCAGCTCCATTTTTTTCTTTGGACTTGGTGTGGATCGCAAAATTGACCCGGCTTCAGGTCACTGATATCCAAATTTGCTATATGTTGTGCATTGTACTCTCACCGAAATTTATCACTGTAAATTTTAAGGCTACCATTTAGTGGCTGTAGATGGCTTTAGCTATAATGGCGCGCATGACGTCATTCCTACGTATTTTTTACAGATCTCAGGTCAACACGTGACCTCTGAGGGCAGGTCAAATTCTCCCAGGTACGGGTCTACTTTTTCAAATGACTTAAAAAATATCACACAGTCGCCACTTTGTCCCCATAATGTTCGCCATAATCAGGAGCGTCGAATAATATACTTTGTCTAGCCACTGATACATTGCCAAGTCCAGCCATTCAGGTCGAGAAGCTGGTCATATCTCATACCTATTATTTAATTTGGCAGGTTTTCGTAAGTCCGCTCATGACTTTCTCGACACGCAAGCTCAATTAGATCGAGACTTATGCATCGACGAAAACTCTGATGACCTTTTATGACGTCGCACTATATTACGTCACGCAACGTCAATAATGTAAACATTTGATATTCATCCCTTGCCAAAATTTTTTATAATCTCGATTCTATGTTAATGAGATAGCGAATATAATTTTCGACCCTAAAATTACAGTATCCATATTTCCTGCGTTGACTGACAATAGTGAGGTCACGTGACTGCCCTGATCTAAATAGGTGACCCTTTGGAAAAATCCGAGATATCCAAACCAAAATGTGATTATTCCGGAAGGTTCCTACGTCCTGTAAGCTTCATATCCCCCCCCCCCCCCGACTGCGATATGGCTCGGATGTTTAGGCTCAGGCGTCTACTCGTAAAGGCTTTCGTCTGACTGACTAATGTCGTACACTCTGTCATGAGTGTTATAATTACTTATGTCTCAAAGAAGAGCCAAAATATTTTTTTTTCTAAAAGCTGACGCATACGTTCACGTGACGTCTGTAGGTCCAATGACGCAGTGGCTCAAAACTGCACGACAAAGACGTGATGCTACAGGACCCGGCAATAGTTTTGTCCTCTAACTATGCAGCACTTCCCGGCTCCTAATCGCTTCTACCCTTTAGGGATAACGGTTCTGGCTGCACCCCTGCATTGCTAGACCCTTGACTACGGGACGTGAGGTCGCGAACGGACCTCGGGTCATGGGTCACCGAGCCAAGGCCAGTTTCACACAGATTGTCCACCCGATCGGCCGCGTCGCAAAATGAAGGTCAGAAAATCTATCTCGGGGAGCTGAACCAGACAGTCGGCAACGGCATGCTCGCATGCCAAAATCACACAGCGTGCCATTGCTGATCAGTTGGGACATCTGACTGCAGCGTGTATACAGACCAGCGTGGGTGGGATGAGCATACGGCTGCTGGCAGTGTTGCTGATCGTTCCAGACCGGGTGTTCGCCCACCACTTCGACCGTGACAGAAATCGCATTGAAAAAGGCGACCGGGGAGAGGGGCCAGTAGGTGTCGAAAATAAAATTGCCCAAGCAGCTTATGTGCAAGGGGCGGACTATCCCACCTTCAGACAGGACCGTGAGACACTATTGGAAGAAGTATCGACCATTGTCAATGACAGGTGGACATGCATTTTCATGCGGGACGACGCGTCAGCTCATCGCTCTGCTGCAGGGCCCAACGGTGTTGCGAATCGAACCTAGCGGACTTCTGAAGGAAGGAGATGTTAGCCGGCTACAATCCGCACCCAATCCTGATCGAGGAGCTTTGCGCTATCGTCCAGCAGGTCCTGGACAAACAGGAGCCGGCGGCTAGCCTCGTTGCCCTGCAGGTATGTACGTACATACAGCTCAAACGGGCGTGGTCGAAAATCAAGCCGTCAGTGCTGCACGGCCTGGTTACCAGCACGCCAAATCGCGTTCGTGCGTTCATTCCTGTTTCTGGGGAATATAATGAACACTAAAAAGAATAGCTGCATCTTATACAGCCGCTTAGAGAGCATATTTTTAGACATAAAACACTTATGCCGGGTCTTGAAGTTTCTGGTACATAGTGGCCGTTTTCACGACGGAACTTTCGCAGAGGAACTTATTTGATACCTAAAAAGTACCTACCATTAGAGGCCTTAACATCCCTCAAACTGAAATATTTTATGTTCAAAATAATTTTAGAAGTTTAAATCCGGACATTTTTTGCCCTCAAATCACTTATTTATTTACAAACACAGCAATTTTTGGTTCTAGTAGCCCACCTTTCGACTATGAGGTATTAAATCAGCGTGGCAACTTGCTCCCTCTTTGCTCCCTCGGGTATCTAATTCCGGAATTCTTAAAAACAAGGAAAGTATATATCGAGTTCTCTTTTATACCTATTCAGTTATGTTTTAATGGTGATTAAAATATGACAAATTTTTTAATTACATTTCATATAAGAAAACACGCAAAACAATGAAACAAAAATAACTACGGCAGATAATTACCTTCAGGTATCTAATTCCGACCAATCAGCACCTCAGTAGGATATGACGTCATACAAGAATGGTGGTGAGGGCCGTTTGCAGTCCCGGCCGGTAGGTCACGTGACCGCCGGGCGCCTCGGGTCACGCGGCGGTCGGGAGTCGGACGCGGGGCGTGGTCGCGGGCGGACGCGCGGGGCATCATGCTTTGCTTTGCTTGCTTTGTCAACTTCATATAACTTACTATCGCATTCGTGTGAAAGCCAAACACTGCTCAGTGCCCTTAGAAATTGAGTTTTGGAAAGCTCAAGTTCCTATAGCTCCTCAGGTCGGCAACAGTTGAAGCCTCATCTGAACCCATGTGAAAAAAACGAGGGTAAGGAACCTTGTGTTGCTTTTTCTTTTACCGTCATAATTATCTCAAACCATCACAATTTTGAGTTGCCATATTGTCTGCTTCACTACATTCGTGTAAAACTTGGGTGAAGGATGGTGGCTCAAAGAAAGGTGAAGATATTTCTTTAAGTGCCTAATCCGTGAAATTGAAATATCCCGGCTTTACAAATCTACACTTTTCATTTTCTCCACGATACATTTTTTTAAAATTGTTTAAATTTTATCTACATTTGTTAAAATCGGGGCTTTGGTTTTGTGTAAACTAGATCATAAAGTTTACTATAGTTTTGTGTAACCTGATGGCTGAAGAAAATAGTAATTTTGCTAAAATGATGTGCGGAAATTTGTTGCTTTCCAAATCAAATTACTCATACCTATATTTCATTCAAAATTAGGAGGCATTATTACTGTTTTTTCTTGTAACATGAACGGAGTTTGGGTACGGTGCTCCGGAAACGTTGTGGAACTTTAAGCTAGCTAGAGCAGTTTCCATAAAAATTGTTAAGATAGTTGACATGGCTTGTTGACAACTCCTTTGCTGTTTCTAAAAAAGTGAAAAAAATATTTTCCTGCATTAAGCACACAAGGCATGTTATTCTCATAAGCTATCGAATGTGTGTTTGTGTTTTTTTAAGCTGTTTTTTTAAGCTTTTAAGCTGTAGCTTCAGTTACTTCACTTTAGAACATATTGCCCAGAATGCGTCACTGATCATGAGCTGGTATATCATATCATATGTAGCAAATACATAAATGAGAATAGTGTGTCATGAATTTTTGTGCATGCTTCTGGATCATCTGTAATTACATCAAACATTACTCAAGAGTGTCCTGCCGACCAGCTTATGCCCAACCCTTTCTGTCCGCAGAACGTCGCCTGCGACTCCCGCACGCCGTTTGCCCCGGCCGTCCGTACTGGTCTTCGCGCTGCGAGCCGCGCTGGAGTTCGCGGCGGCGTCGTGGAACTCCCATCGGGACGGCGTGTGATGCCCGCGTCGAGCTTATAAGCCGTGAGCTTCGATTGGCGGCTCACGCGGTCACCAGCTGTATGTACAGCCTCGGCCCCGACGACCCCGCTAATGGCCGAGACCGGCATACCCCCGGCATGGGTCCGCTGTCCGGCGCAGCGCTGGCCGCCCGCATGCTATGCTACTTTTGGCTGTATCGCTGCCCAGCGGGAGCGCGCTCCACGCTGCGGAAGAGGTACACGTTGCGACCCGACTGAGGACTGCAACCGGATGGTGACACGTCGGCCTCTGCGCCCTGGCCGGGGCAGGCGTGACCGACGTCACAGTGGAGGAACGCCCAAACAAGACCAGCCCACCGTCGGAGCAGCATGGAAATATCATGTTCTGCCTGGACGTCGGACCCGGCGGCCGCAGTGCACCTGCACACGTGCGGAGAGGGGCGCTGGAGGCTACTCTGGAGCTTCTGCCATTCCGCGGCGCGACTGCTGGCAAAACGGCGGCGATTGAGGCGGTTGGGAACAGCTGCAGCAATGGTGATGGCGGTGATGGCGACATGGCGGTTTGGGACTTCATCTCAGCGCGGCCGCCGCCCAGGCGCCGCTGCGCCCGGCTGCTCAGCCACCTACCGGATGGCGGGGTGGCCCTTACGGCCCTCACGCCCGTTCGGTCTGCGGCCACGTTGTGGGGTGGCGGTCGCGGGGTTAGCGGCGTTGGACTTCGTCCTTTATCCAGACTGCACCGTACCATCTGAACGGATGGATCTGCCAAGAAAGATGACATCCAAGGCGGCTATGAGGCGATCACAAAGCTTCACCAAGAGCTTCTCCTTCATGGGGCCGGCCGGCCGTTAAGTCGCAACACCGGCTGCCGAGTGCCAACAGCTGCGTGCGCTGGCGCCGACGCGTTGTGGGCCGCGCTGCTGACGCCCAAGCTGCGATATCAACCATCTATGAATAAGTGGCAGCGGTGGCGGCTTGTCAGTTGTTAACGTGCCTTAACAGACGTTGCGAATAGCCCGCGTTGGAATCGCATGGTTGGGAACACAACGCAAGTAAAAATGGGCTTCCTTGATGAACCTACTTTTTATGCATTGTAGCCTTTGTAATTTTGGATGTTTTGCTGTAGATATTATTTTCTACATATATACTATATAGGCACTCACGTGCTTTAAATCGCGCAATGCAATTGAACCATGGTAAAGACAATGATAAATGAACTGAGAGCTGACATGCCCCATGCTTTGTGTGTGTATGTGTGTGTGTGTGGTTTTTTTGGCGAGTCGATAAAAGTGGTTTTGGACACTGGATGAGTTTTTAGGGGTGTGATGAGGGGGGATGTAATTCCACAGACCTTCTGTCAGATTCACTAATGCAGTAGGTCTGTGCGGTGTTTAGTTATCGGAGCATTCTTTGAAAGTCGTGAATAGGGCCACCGAGTACCTAAAGCCGTGATATTCCCCCACAAAAACTTATTTTAAATAACCGGGGATTGGTACATGAGCAGAGTAAATGCTATTTAGAACGCGTATCACAATGCTGAGCGAATAGGAAAATCCCTAGATGGAGAATTGTGCCGCGTTACGGGTGCTCGGGCGCAGCCAATCCACCGTTACCCCAGCGGTGACCTTGACCCGCATCGTCTGTCTCGGCTCCAAAGCCAAACCGGCGTGGAATTGGGAGCGTTCGAGCACTCATGGTCCAGCGCAATTCTCCACCTAAATCCATTCCTGATACACATTTGCTTGCTCATAGTCATGTAACCCCGGTAAATTCACCCAACTTTCATATTGGTCGCTCCATAGACAGATGGCCACAGAGATCAACTTAAAAGGCCATTGTTGCATTCATTTAGTGGAGATCATTAAAGAGCCGTGACAGGCCACAAGTCGCGTGACATCATACGTGTAACGACCAATGACGTCGGCCTGCAAAACCCAATGGAAGCGGCTAGCAGCGTGCAATAAAACAGGGCGCTGCTTTCTAAATGTCTGTCGTGCGCCATAAATGAATATATTCTTTGTAGCCTGGCAACTCAGTATCTTTTTTTAACTATTGTACTAGTATTTACTAATTTCATAATTTTATAATTGTGCTTACGCTTTATGTTGTTATTAGTGATAAATCCTTAGATAAAGTAAATCGATGTGATATTTAATAGATAAATAGCAAACTAACGCACCATTCATTCGAAAGCTGGGGAACCTACTAAAAAGAACTACTAAAATTCCTGAGGAACCAAAGGATCAAATGGGGATTAAATAGATGCCTGCTATTCCGTCGTGAAAACGGCCAGTAGGTACCAAATAGGTAGCGCTTGCATTGCAACGCTCTTCTAGTCATCATCGTAAGGTAATATGAGTTGTCCACTCATTAATCGATAAACATGATTCACGAACTTTTTGAACACTTCACAAGTTCGAGATGAAATTTTATTTGCAAGTTAAACGCATTCATACAATCACTTATTCGGTTCACTCACAATCACACACACAAACAACCGATAGCACACGCAGTAGTTACGTCACACTTAATCTGTGGTTCAATGGATTGTCAATGTAAACTAGCGATTCCAATCGAGCTATATCACGCGATAAGATTTAATGGTTAGCAGTGGTATCCGTAACGACATCCGTACCTTCCCCTGCCGCCAAAGTTGCTGCCGAGTCTGCCGCCAAAGTTGCTGCCAAAGCCAAGTCCGAAGTTGCCGAAGCCATTGCCAAAGCCATTCAGGCCACCGAAGGCGCTCAGTCCACCGAAGCTGTTCAGTCCACCGAAGCTATTCAGTCCACCGAAGCTATTCAGTCCACCGAAGCTGCTCAGGCCACCGAAGCTGTTCAGGCCTCCGAAGCTGTTCAGGCCTCCGAGGCCGCTCAGGCTATTGAAGCCGTGGCCAAAGCTGCTGCCGAATCCAAGGCCGAGTCTGCTACCGATTCCAGCGAAGCCACCGATTCCGCGACCAAGCCCAATGCCGCTGCCAAATCTTTGACCGAGGCCGAGGCCGCTGCGAAGGCCGAAGCTGCTTCCGATGTTGCCAAAGCCGTTCAGGCCACTGAAGCCCCGGTGGTACGGGTAGCTGTAGGAGGAGAAACCAGCAGCGGCAGCAGCCACCAAGGTGATGAGGATAACCAGCTGAAAGAAAACAAAAACATCAGTCTCTCCGTCGCCTCTCTTATCCTAGAACCGTTCGTGATAGAAATCATAGTGGCATTTTGCTGATATTTATTTGAGAGCTAAATGAGCAAAAGAATTATCATAAATCGATCATTACAGGCAATTGTAACGGTGAGACGAAATAAAGATAAACGGAATTGCGGAATAAAATGAAAACAGAAAACACTTTCATTTTGCCGTATTGCATCCACTACGGCTGACAACAACTAAATGAATGAGCCGGAATGGATCGAGAGATCTAGGTGGTTTTCCTGTTTGTTACAACCGTATCAGAGATGCTGTATGTTTACCTTCATGGTGATATTGAAAAGAAGGAGCTGTGCTGCCGCTGTCTTTAGACTGTGATATAATAGTGAAGTGAATGCTGGAAAGAGCGAAACGCTTTTATACCTACCAGCACTGAGTTCGAGACAGGAAAACTGATCAAAACAAGATTAAACCTAACTAGATCCAAAACAACTTGCTACACTTGTCCGTCTTTTCTGTGAGGCACGACTCTGTAAACACATTTATTTGTATGTTTTCAATTCTTTTTTTAACTTGTCTCATTTGTACAGCGCACCCAAAGTCGCACATTTGTTCTGTGTTGGGGTACACATCAGCCATGACATGGTTATTAGACACTACATAGACCGGTATTCATTCTCGATATCCTCTTATGGCGTTCATATTTCATCTACACAATGCTTTGTTAGTACATGCTTTTCTAAAATGTTTTATATGCCATGTCAATCTTTTTATTGAATGTTTCGAAGAATATTTGGTCATTAGTGTTTTGCTGACGTCGTTCGAATGGGCGAAAATATTATTTACCATACGATTGTTCAATCCATGCATTCTTCGTCGCAAAATATCATTATGTCGGAAACAGTTGCTGGAAATGGTTGTTCGATGGAAAAAGGGCTCACAATTAAACATTTCATACCTAATCAACTTTTTCATCCACGTAACGAAAACATCACAGCGTGTTTCTGATGAAGCGTGTTTCCAAAGATATCAATTATCAACGTTGTACCTACCTACAGACGCTTTTATGTAAAAGCTTACATTTGATCCGCACATGGTTGGAGTCGCGCGTCCACACTGAACTAGTATAATGCAGAAAGATGTCTGAAAAGTGTCGCCGGCCGCCGCGGACATCGAATTCGCCCTTCGAGAGACCCTGATTGGAGGGACGGTCCGGGACTGGACGATATACTCGATAACTAATGGAACCTGGGAGAAGTGGTTAAAGGGACTATCCCACCTTCTAAAATGTTGTTAAAACCAGTTAAATTGTGCCCGACTTTATAGATTGGATGACCAGGAACACGGTTCTGGCATTTATTTTTCATTACACATCTTAAGCTTCCCATATTCCAAACACAAACTTTCAAATATGTGACGTCAAAGCCCAAAATTACCTCCTTCCCCAGGCCACATTACTGTCATAAAGCTGATTCTTTTTACTCTGTAGGCACCACAACAAAGTTCAGACCAAGTTTTAAGCGATTTTTCAACGAACAAACCCATTTAAATCAGAATGACTAAACGAGGTGACGTCACACTAACGGTCGCTCCATGTTGAAGATAGGGCCTTGCACAAGGCCCATTTTCAAATGAAGGGAACGAATTTCTTCAACACCAAGAGGCCGCGGGGGTTGCAACCTAGATAGATAGTGGTTTCTGAACCTCGCCGCAAACTTGGCTATCTCAACTCAAACCCCATGTTAAAGGTGGGATAGTCCCTTTAAAGGGAGTGATATCTGACGAAATAGCAACAAAGCCTCAGCAGCTCCACTGTTTGGTATATACAAGAACATAAAAGTAGACTTTGTAGGTAGTTTTGTTTATGTTTGTATGCATGTATGTATTGTATTGAGTCATTGACATCAAAAGCCTCCCACATATGTATAGCGTGGCGACTACGGCTTAATCACGCTGATTCAATAATCAAGTAGAATGAGATAATAATCATGTCATGCCTACATCTAATTGGTCACACCCCCATGTCCGGTCAGAGTCACTCACCAGGCAGCCGGTAGTATGGGTACTTACATTCCCACCAGGGCGACTGCTTGAGTGGCTGACATGCATACGATTCGGGTGTTGAATCTGCGACCAGGGTGAGTCCCAACCAAGGCAAGCTAAAATTTAGGATGTATCGATCCCGTCTGATCACACAGGGAAACATATGTTGGATCTATGATCGCATGGGCCATGGTGATCGAATCACATATTCCCAGGTCATTAAGCATTTTCTCAAAGCCCGAGAAATAATGCTTGCACCACTGTTTCGTTGTCTCCGAATCCCGACGCCTGATGCGAAGTAGGGGACAGTGGGGCAAAGTGACCACCCGAGGCAAAGCGGCCACCCATCGTTTGAGCCCTCCACAGCTGGCGTCAGTTCCAATTTATGGTTTCCAATTATACTTCTCTTCGCGGTCGTTCGAATGAGCCAGACCGGGGTTTCAGGCCCATCGCCATTGTTCTGTGAAACACGGAAAAACATTGCTCGCCAGGTTACTAACTATGTTTACAATTTTTAAATGTTATTTTATTCCATAACCGTTTAGAAATTTTATAAGCGTTCTTGTTCATGCATTGCGTGGTTAAAGTACATGTCTTCCACCAATTTTAACCCTAGAACGCCTAGGGGGGGGGGTTGTATCACCCCCCCCTGAGGTTTTTTCGAAGTGCACGCTAAACGGCTTGTCGTAGCGGGCTGAAATTTTCAATACCCTCTGGGGCAACCTTTGCGCATCTTTTGCCGAAAAAAATTGATCGGGTCATGTCAGGTCACGGAGTTATGACGTCATAAGAGGTACAGCCTCCGGCCGACAGTTACCAAACGTGTGCGCCGAATCCCTAGGTTTTCTGCCGGTGATACCCACATTGTTTGATGGATCATGATGAAACTTCCCATGCATGTTGGGGCAAGCATTGGCTATCGTGTGGTGCAAGAAAATTGACCGGGTCAGGTCAGGTCACGGAGTTATGACGTCATAAGAGGAACAGCGTCCGGTACTATTTTTGAAAAGCGCCCGAACCACTATTTTGCTAATTCTTGTCACCTCAATGGGAATATGCAGCAATATTAGCTTCTATAAGGAGGAAATGGACCTTCCAAATCCAAAAATACAATCAGATTTCAAAAATTTAAATTTCAAAATCAAAAATCAAAAATTTTGATTTTTCGAATTTCTGCCGCCGACTGTGACCTTGCCGACTTCCGGCGCTCCCAACGCGCCATTTTTAGAGCTAGGGAAACGAAATACATACCAAACGATAGAGAATTGATCAAGGAACACGATAGTGAAGGTTTCAAGTCGATATCTCCCACCGTTTTGCCGCAATCGCCGCGGAAAGTTGAAAAAAGTCTATTTTTCCGAAAATTTGACCTTTGACCGGTCAAAAGTAGGTCAAATGTTGACCTAGGACCAAAAAATATACCACCAATCGCGAGATCTCGTTGAGAGCAATCCGTTGGTTTTTTCCGCTAAGCTCTACGACCTTCCGTTTCGAAACACCAGCGGGGTCGTAACACCCCCCCCCCCCCTGGTCGTTCGTGTTATGAGAAATGGCCTGGTCGTGCGAGGGTTAATGCTTTTTTACCCTGGAATATTTTTGTCTCGGACGGTATGCGTGGGGCACAGTGGCCGGGGCGAAGTGACCAGCCCCTAATAGGCCATAAGTTGTTTCCATCTGGATAAAAAACATCATTTATGTTCAAATGTGCCGTCATGCGTTCATCTTGGCCACTTTTCGGTTATATGAGTTACCAAATAATGCAATAAAATGTTTTCCATGAAAATCCTTTCTAGTGATTACCTACAGGTTGGAAGATGACAAAGTAAACATCCATCCTCGCTTAACCCTCGCATGTGTAGGGGGGGGTCGGATGGACCCCCCCCCATGGTTTTTCGCGAATAACTCGCGTAAAAAGCGGCCGATCGGGACGAAACTTTCAGTACCCTCGCATTGATCAATTTTACACCTACCCTGAAAATTTCATGACCCTGACCCAAATGACCTTTGACCTGTGACCTCTTTTCCGAGACCATGTTTGGCCGGAATCGCGATTTCGCGTATGTCGGCTCGCACTAGCCGCGTGTTTGCAAGCTTTTCGTGGTTTCAAACGTTCAAACATGTGATTTGATGTTACTCCCGTGTGTGTCAAGGTCACCTGAAGGTCAGGTCAGGTCATTGACCTTTGGTGACCTCGGGTGACCTCGGGTCACTTTTTCGAGTTTTACATGTTTCTAGGCTAGTTTTTGGAGCTGAATTCGAATTTAGCAACCATTTGAACATTTACGAAGTAGTTTTGGTGACTTCGTAACATGTTACGAAGCTGTCAGAGGCGGTTGACACGTACTACGAATACCCGTCACGACGCCTACTGGTTGACCTGACCTGACCTGACCCGACCTGGTCTAAATGCTTCAAGACATCATCTGTGATCAAAACTAACACGATATTCGTGATCAGCACCCCGAAAAACCCCTTAGCAGCCACACTTTACGACTTTTTAACAGGTCCCGATTTTCCCGACTTTGGGTCATTGACCTGACCCGGAAGGTCAACCAATGACCTAGGACCTTAAAATTGGGTATCATCGGCTTCCTCTCGTCACGGGCAATACGCTCGTTTTTTCCGCGAAGCTCTAGCTCGATCAGGGGCCAAACGGCAAGGGGGGGGTCCAACCGACCCCCCCCCCTACACATTAGAAGCTGGCAAACGCCGCACACATGCGAGGGTTAAACCTTGTCACCATCAAATACCCTTGTCGTACATGATGCAACTATTCCGTTGCATCATGAATCATACCTGGACTTGAGAAGACGCCGGTGGCCGCTTTACCCCAGGGTATGAGGCAAAGTGGCCAATATGCATAGGTTCAAAGTTTTGTTAATATCTCCCACGTGTGAACGCATTTGGAAATGAAACGCAGTGGAAATAAAAGGCAATGTACCAGGGATCACATCGGTATAGTAAGAACCTTTCCAAGTTTAAAAATCAAGCGTATGGCCGTATGGCTGTTCCCGTATCTCATTAGAATCGAGTGCAATTACACTTTTTTAACAGTAAACGCATGTTTAAAAGCACATGTTCTGCGACACCCTATAAAGTATAAACAGTTATATACAGGGCCGTAAAGCAGAGCTCCTTTCAAAAAATGAAATGCAATAAATTTTCAGTTATCACCAATCTCCTTGTCACGCTTGCTTCTACCTGAGAAGGAAATTGTTGGTTGTTTTCTTAACATGTGCTGACACCTGAGCAGCATGCAATGACCGGTGTTTAAAACTTTAAAGCATATGTCTTTCTGGGAACGTGCTTAGCTAAGAACACGGCCAGTGAT